TGCCCAAGGTTCATATATAGAAGAATCCTAAGTTACTTTTAGAAAGTGGAGCATCTAGAAGTTGGCAGTGGGAAGTAGTCAAATAGCTGGTGAGGCAAGAAAGAGGGACTGAAATCACGGCCTTTGGGATCTGTGCAAGATGGGCTGGAGGGAAAGCGGTGGAACTTGTTGCTGTCTGGAGAGAGACTTTGGATCTCTGATGGGTGAAACAGCTGTCTGTAGAGACCCTGCTGGGTTCTGAAGCCAAAATTTTGGGTGTCCTTTGAAATCCTGTTACTTGGATCAAAGAGTATCTCACCTTATTGTTGTTTTTTTTCTGTTAATGAAAGTAACCCATAAAAACCTGACTGCTAGCTAATTGCTTTAATTACAACAAAACCTTCCTTTATGTTTGGCCTTAATTTGTGTTCATCAGTTGCTTCTGTTTGTCATAAATGTGATGTTGAAGGCGGCCTGCAACTTAACATCAAGCCAGAAAAAGAAATGAAAAATTTGAAGGATGTATTTAAATGAAGAGGCTAAAATACCATCTATTAAGCTCATGGTGGTATTATCAAAGACTGTAACCTTGGTTAGATCTTACTGATAATTCAAAAAATTGATATTAAAGAGGTACTGAACAATGCAGGAAATCATCTTTCTCTGAAGAAATCTTGCAATAAACCTCAAGAAGGTCATGTTAAATTTAATAGCATGGAAGAACAGCATAGATTTTTATCAAGGATATGTACAAAAGGGTAGATAAGTCTGCCTTTTGTTGATCTAAACATACGTTTTAGAGCATAAGTAAGATGAACTTACTGGCTTTTCTTTTTGTACCTATTCAGAAAGCGAATGCATCAGTTGCTGTTAGCTTTATGCTCTGATTGAGTATATGGCCAATTACTGCTGGGCCGAAAATAAAACAACTTTTTGTCCTCAACTGTGGCTAACTATATACATTATCTCACTACCACTCATTCTCTTTCCTATCAAAATAAAATAAGTGCTCTCCGTTACGTGAAACACCAAGCTCTGTTTTCCAGGAAATGAGGAACTTGGAGTAAATCCCAAAGCAGAATCTCTTCAGCAGCTGCCTGTTGTGTTGCTGGAAAGCCTAAACAGAGCAGCTGAAACAAAACTGTGCTCATCCCAGTACGTAAATGAACCAAAAGATAACATATAAAGCCACCAAAGGATACATTAAAATCCAGAGGCTTTTATGTAGAAAGATGGATCAAGTGAAAGATTTACTACTTCAATTCCAACTAATTGATTTCTGTTGCTTAAATTAGAGCAAAACCCCAATGCTACCATGTATCCGAACCCATTTGTTCTTAGCTTACAAAGCAGAATACTGTAATTAACTAAATTGAATGTTTCTTGAAGGTCTTTTAAAGAAAAGACTGATTTGCTTACAATGCATTGGATGGTCTGTCTGAATTGGCTGGCATACTTCCAGTGTCAAAGCAGCTGAGATTTGAAATCATTATGGGAGCAAGTATTCCAGATCTTCTATTTAGGTTACTCTGCTCTGGGTGTCATAAGAAGAAGGAATGGAAGAGAGAGAATTTTTTTTTCCCCTGTAGTAGGATAAAATAAACCCTGTAGAAAATCAGAGAATTTGGGAAATTTCATGTCTTGAAATAGCAAAAACAATTCACCTTGTAGAATTCTTTCAGCATTTATACACTAAATGGCAAAGTTCCATCAACTATTCTTTCCTTAATCTTCCGGTATCACCAATAGAGTATGCAGGAAAAGATGCTCATCTTTTTAATTGGCTTTTTCACTTAGCTTTTTGACAGAACGAGCAGCTGCCTATGTGAAGCCAGGTAACTCTTTACAAACAACTGCTACTAGTCCAGAGACTGACCTATTGTGATTTATCTCCATTGGGAACTGTATATTAGAATTATAATTACCTATGGTTTAACTTGCTAGTACTGCACAAGTTACAAATAACTTTTTTTTTTTAAACTGACTCAGGAAGTGTGGCATACATGGAGATGGGTTGGTAGATCTTGGGTGCTGTGCAGCAGAAGCATCTAGAGATTAGAGGAATATTGAAGAAATGAGGAAGAATATTAAATGTCGTTTAGGTGGTAAACAAATGATATACTGAAAAATTAGTATTGTACTTGCTTTGTAAAAAGTTTAATTGCCTTTATTATATCCTGTTGCCTTCAGTTGCAATATTTGAGATAAGTGCATTAAGGTACAAAACTTCATGATGGTTATAATACCTCCTGAGATGAGTTAGACAGAATCTTAGTACTTTTCTATATATAATAGTGGTATAATGATTAGAAAACCAGAACGAAATTACAGAACAGTTGCTTGGCCAGGTATGAGTCCTGTTGCTTTACTCTGTTTGCATAAAATATTTTTTGATATATTAGGAATTTTGAGTATGTATGTAGGTGATTATAAAAGGGGAATTCAATCAGTTCTGTAGCTCCTGTAAAATAAGATTGCATTTGAAAAATAATGCTTTAAAGTTAAAAAAAAAAAAAAATTGGGGGGAGGAAAGCTTTTCAATATGGGTCTCATTCTGTGTAACTTTTTAGAAAAAAAAAGCAAGAGATCAAAAATTGCATTTTCCCATATTCAAGTTTTGTGGCAAGTAAAATAAATTGGAATATCATGTCCTAAAATAAAATGGAATTGGGTTAATAAAAATCTGCTATAATCAGATTCAAATATAATTCTCAGAGTTCCCTGCCTCAGTATTTCTTTATTTCCTGCAGCTTTTGTAAAATTTAACTGGTAGGATTAGTTTTAAAAACTGTATCTCTCCAGTGCTAAAAGATCTTTGCAAAGTTTTATTAATTCCCTGAAAACAGGAGCCTGGCTTTTTCATGTGCCAGCCTGTATTGCTCGGGTGATAAAGTGGGAGCTGCAGGCAGAGCACCTGGTCTCAAAATAGATCAGTAATAACTGATTTAAAATACATCATGAGTGACTCGTGCCCTTCTACAATTTAAATGCTTTAATCCTCAGTTTCATTCTTTGTTCTGTAACTTTGGTTGGGAACTAAGTGGTTTAGGAGTTGATTTCTTCATGGGACCTACGTGGAAAATGTTTTGGCTCCCCAGCTAGATCTAGCAAAATAATGATGAGAGAAGTATACTCAATACCAGGAATTAAGAAATGGAAGGAAGGAAAACAGGAAACTTGCTATTAATCTGCTTTTTCTCACCCTGAAGCGTCGTGCCAATTTGCCTGTGATTCCGTGACTGTCTGCATTTTATCCTGGAGAGGGGAGGTGGTGGCAGTCCGGCTCCTTCAGCCAGCGGTTCAGGATGGTTCAGGATGGCAGTGCTGAAACAGGGTGTGGGTGTCTTCGTTCTGACTTCTGCCAGGATTTGAACTTAAGTTCCCCTTGCAGTTCCACTAGGGAATATTGCGAGGTTGGTTTTCCCCTCAGTATCTACAGCGGGCATCTCTTCGGATTCCTAGGGATCCAGGTGCCCCACTAATCCTGGCAGTATGCTAAAGCCCAGCAGAGGGAGGAGTGCATCTCTAAAATTAAATATTTTATGTGGGTGAATCTAGCTGCATTTTCTTGTCTCTCCTCATACCTGCTGGCCATGGCCTGTGTCGTGATGCCACGGAGGAGCTACAGCATGTTTGGTTTTCAGATTTGTTTCTAGAAAAGATGGTTGAATATTATGTGTGCCAGTGTGCTGTAAATATCTGGGGTGTCTGTTTCTTTCAACAACTTCGTTGAAATGAAATGTGTTACCTCGTGGTAGACTTGCAAAAAATACATTTATGTAAAAATGTTTTAATTGTTAACACAAAGTACCTTATACCAGTGCGCAATAAATGTTGCCAGTGGTTGATTATTTCTTTTGGATGAAGGCGACTGTGGTTATGGCATTACTGTTAAGATTATTTTGTGGCAACAGCAGTTCCAGCAGTCTGCGCTGAAATTACAGAAAATGTGAATCCTTTTTCGTACCTAAAGTAGGTTTTGTCTTTCTCAGTGAGGAACAGACTGGGGGCAGGTTTCTTCAAAATTCATGTCTTCTTTTTTAAATGCAGAGGAAACTAAAACAGTGAAGTGTAGACTTAAAGCAATTCGGTCTGTTAAACAGATCCATACAGACAGATTTGGTTTTTATTTGTTTGAAAAATAGTTTAAATAAAACATGAATTCTGTAAGTAGTGGAAGAAGCATGAGACAGACAAAACAACTTTAATGAAAGCACTCAGCCTTTTTCATGCTCTCAATCTACCTTTATTATGTTAATCAAATTCCATGCAGTTCCCAGCAGTGGTATGTGAAAATTATCTTTTCAAATAAATGAATACAGATTATTTACTGCATATCAAGAAGCTGGTTGTAGGTCTTTGATCTTTGTCCTGGTGTAGACATAGATCAGAGCAGCTAAGATTCTCTAAGTTGCGCGGTGTCCCCTTATCCTCCTGGATGGCCGGGGGGTGAGATGGCAGGCAGGCGTGCCAGCCCTTGCCCACGGGGCAGTCCGGTGTGGAAACCACCTGCTTTCGATGCCCAGGATGAGTTTAAGTCTGTTCAAGCCCAATGGTCCCAATATAACTCAATTTCTGATGCCTCCAGGGCACGCTCAGGCGTTCTTTTTGGGAAGAATGAAGCGCGTATCATTGGGGCTGCTGAGAGGAAATGGGAGAAGTCTAATTTCCTTGTACTTCTAGTTTATTTACTGATATTTTCCAGATAGATAGCTGGAGGTAACAAACTCTTTAAATCACACCTCCTCGTCAGAAGTCCCACTAAGGCAGTCAGCGTTCAGTGCGCTGAATCTGAGAAACAGTCTTCAGGAAAACTAGAAACAGTGAAGTTCGCCACTCTTCTTTCTGTGCAGTATTCTCCTCTTTGTTGTCTCTGTGTGTGTGATGACCGTAAGAGTTAAATACTGCGTTTGCTATCTTAATTAGTTGGTGCCTCACTAATAAATTCTATTAGAAGTTAGAAAAAAGTTTGTGGCATTTATGTGGGAACAGTATATATGCTATCCTATATTTTGCTTCAGGATAATGTTTTGAACATCATAAATCAAATCATGGATGAATGCATTCCACATGAACGGGCCAACCGAGACTTTTGTGTTAAGTTTCCAGAGGAAATACGCCATGACAACCTTGCAGGACAGCTTTGGTTTGGAGCAGAAGTAAGTCTTTCATATTTCTGTTACTTGGGGTTAATGAACAATTTCTTGTGGCATAAAGCCAGGAGTTTAAAGTACATCTTGAGACTTTTCTGAAAATGGTAAATATAGTTACAGAGCAAAGTAAAGATTTTTGTGAACTTGCTTTGGATGCTCAGTGGAAGGGGATTCTTTAACTATGGCTTTGGTATTGGCTGGGCTAACAGTATACCGGTTTATTTTCATAATTGTCTGCTGCCATTATGAACACCTCTTAAAAACTATTCTTTTGTGAATTAGCATCTGATTAATATTCTTGGTTTGTGTTTTTTAAATCCGATGGGCATCTCACGGTTTGAAAAACCTTAGAAACAAATATGTAAGGGAATTTTATCAGGATGAAAGTTTATCTCCAACAATATAAGTGCATGCTGTCACTTTATTTTAATGGTTATGTTATACTATGACTCATATTAAACATTCATAACTTTGTTGATATGACATTTGTTGCATGTAACTTGTTTCATGTGTCTGCTAAAAATATAATGGTTTCTGTGCAAAACACTGAAGTCCACTTTTCTTATCTTACCTGGTTTCTCTCGAAGACCTGCTTCGAACAGCACCCTGTAGGAACAAGGGATTTTGGTAGTGAATAAGATTTAATTATTTTAACCAAGGGAAGCCTGAAGTATCAGAAAAAAAGATGTGATAAGATACTTATTCACTAGTACTGATGTCTGTTGGCTAAAAATAAAAAAAAAAATCATTGTGGCATCTTTAATGATAAACTTAGTGTCTTCAGATCTGCTGGCCTGAGGGTGACTTTAAGTACCCCAGATTTGTTGAGAGTTGAGGGGAGGGAGTAGTCTAGACATCCCACCACACAACAGCATGTTGTGGTTGTGTTTTCAGCTTTGCCTCTCCTGTACTTGAAGCAGTCCTTCGGCTCCTGTTATTATCTGTTCTTTTCTCTGCCAGTTCCTCCTTCCTTTTTAAAGTGCATGCTCTCCATCAATAGTTCCTATCTTGTTCAGTCCAATATGCCTCCATATGTTCTGTTTCTGCGACTTTCTTCGACAGTTGTTAATTGTAGTCTTCCCTGAGTCAGGGAAGTCCCAGGTAAAATTTACAAAATGAATTTGATATGTCAATGCTACATAATCCTGTCCTCAGCAAAAACGTCAGCAGTTTTTCTTCTCATTATCATGTGACCTTCACTGCTGTCATCCAGGTGATGCCATGCTCTGTTTTAAAATGCTGAGAGTCTGACACACTGGCTTAATGGTGCTTTTCCAACCTAAATTATTCTGAGTCCTTGGTAGTTAGGAGAAGACGGGGTAATTCTTTCTGAACAATCCATAAAGAATCCCTGTGAATCCCATTATCCTTTCTTACTCTAAGAGACTAACAAACCAGGATTACAGCAACAAACAGGAAAAAATGCGAACCAATGTAGTAACTTCTCCTTGCATTGTGGAAAATGCTTGAGGGAGTGCCAGCCAGTATCCTCTGGGAGAGAAAAGAAGTCTCCCTTTACTCACTGTTTGTGTTGCATAAGCTCATGCTTTTACTCTTTCCAAATCAAACTTTCACTGTCTCCAAATGGGCCAGCCAGTATCCTCTGGGAGAGAAAAGAAGTCTCCCTTTATTCACTGTTTGTGTTGCATAAGCTCATGCTTTTACCCTTTCCAAATCAAACTTTCAACCACCTGGCTGGAGAGACCCATTGGTTTCAGAGAAGGTAACATATGCAGTGATGAAGTAATGCTAACTCATACTAGGGTAGACACTGTCCTCCTGTAAATTCAGGTAGTAAGGAGGACTCTACGGACTGTTAGGAATATACACTTACGTGTCCTTGTCCGTGCAATCGCTCTGAGTTACCAGAGTAAGAGTACCTATCAACAAGTAAGACTTGCCTTATCTGCACTTCCCCACAAATGCTGCTGTGGCTGCTAAGAGGTGAGAACTTGATCTTCTCTGTGTGCCCTTAAAACACGAGTCAATGCACCAGGCTTCTGAGCAAGGGCTGGGATTGCAGGTCCCCTGTACAGAGCTGCAGAAATGCCTCCCACCCAGGGGAGTGCAGGGGAGGGGGGGGACGCAGAGCTGCAAATGGAGATTAAAAA